CGGCTTCTGGTCCAGACTGTCCCTGCTTCACCCCCTGCCCCTGCCCCCTGAGATGGCGCTTCTTCCCACTAACCACCTGGGCACCTGCGCTGAGGCCTCCGTCCATGCCCACCTGCCTGTGTGGCCGGTCCCCAGCCGCCGAGCTGGGACACAATGGCTAATGGCCTGGGGAGGGATGCCTGCTGCTCCGATCGCCCGCACCTGTCCCAGGGCCATTTCTCGTGCTCGCACCTGAGCCCGAGGTGGAGGGGCCTGACCTTGGGGGTCAAGGATGGCCACACGCGGGCCTGGGAGCGGCCCCTCTCGCCCTCACGGGAGGCACGGGCGCTCCCTCCCCGGTGGGCATGGTCTCTGCACTGACCCAGCTTATTAGGAAGGCGGGAAGCCGCCCCATCCCTGTCCCCCGCGAGCGCTAATACACACCTATGCAGGCTCCTCCTAGGTCCCAGCCGCTGGGGCAGCCCCGGAGGAAGACACCCCAAAAAGATGCACCCACATCTCTCAGGAGAAGGTGCCGAATCCGCTTCCTCCACTTCCCGCCTCCCCAGGCCCGCGTGTCCTCCCGGCCTCGGTGAGGTGCTGCGTGACTTAGACTGTCTGGGGGCAGGGCCAGCTGCAGGACTGGGCTCAGTGCTGTGGGAGCAGCGTTACAATAAAATCCTCCTTGAGTGCGGGCCTGGATCTTTTATTTTTTAAAATACATTTTTATTGCTGAGCTCGTTTGGCTCAGTGGATAGAGCGTCGGCCTGCGGACTCAAAGGTCCCAGGTTCGATTCCGGTCAAGGGCATGTACCTTGGTAGCGGGCACATCTTCACTGGGAGGCGTGCAGGAGGCAGCTGATCAATCTCTCTACACCAGCTAGGGCAGGCCTGGCCTTTGACCAGCTCTCTCCTTCATCCCCATCCACCGCGGGGCTCCCATCCCCAGAGGCAGAGATGGCGCTGAGCAGAGAGGGAGGGCGAGCGGTCCCTTCCCGGCCCTCAGCTTGGGACCCTGGGAGTCCCACGGGAGGATCCCTTTTTCCGAGCTTCCGTTTCTGAATTCTGAAACGGATCCCACCGCCTTCCGAAAGACTTTGTGAACAGGGAGTGTTTTGCAAACGGCCTGCCTTATTTTTATGGCTCCTTCGCATCCCCCAGTTCTGTTGAGGAGTAAACAAACAATGTCTGCGATTGCACTCATGTTGCATGTGGGAGGAATTAAAATCTGTGCGCCATTAGCAAGCTCTTCAAGAGAACGCACGCGCGCGCGGGAAACTGGCATGGGTTGGTTGGGAGGCCCAGAACTGCAGGGGGTGCCTCAGGTACCTGTAGGTGCCAACCACCCCTCCCCTCCCCCATCTGTGCCGCCAGCCAGCTGTCAGGAGGAGACGGATGGTCCCTGCCCTTTGGTAACGCTGTGAGCATAGAAGCTTACAGAACTGCCTCTCTCTCCTCTGGCACCTGGACGCATTTGGCTAAAACTCCAAACCCTTGTGCCCGAAATAAAAGAGCCGGAACGTGGAGATGCTGGAAGGCGGAACGGAATAGGTGCTCAGATTGTTAAGAACGTAATGATCAGTGGTTCCTGCTCACGTGTGACTGCTTTGATCTTTTACCAAGTGGGACCCTTCTTTGGGGACCCCCTCCCCATGCCTCCTGCCCCCAGGGCACATCATTATTGAGACTGGCGAGGCCCCAGCGAGGAGGTGCCCGGCAGGCCCGTCTTCTTCAGTGACGCGTTGCATTGGGCTGTGGTAGAATTGCTGTGTGCCTTGGGGGAACGTGGGTGACCTCTCTGTGCCTCGGCTACTATACTCACTCTGCTGAGAGATTATTTTTAAAAATCCCATGAGAAACAAAGCAGTCTTTTAAAATACCCAGAGGTGGTGTGACAGACACCTTGCGCATTGCCCGTTATTATCCTCATGCATTAGGCAGTGGGCTCCTCGGCGGGCGGCGTCAGACGCGAGAAAACACGTGCTGTCACGCAGCCCCCACTCCACGGAGACCTCCGGGAATGCGGGTGGGAGGCGGTCAAGGTCACGGGAGGCGGTCAAGGTCACAGGCTATTCCGGGTCATCCTGCACTAGCTAGGCCACCCCTAGCGAGTCCCCTCTCCTGCGCGAGCTCAGCTTCGTGCATCAGCTTCGTGCTCACATCCCCTGCCCATGCAAAGCTTCTCACAATTTTGCAGAACAACCGAGGCAGCTTAGAGCAGGGCTGGCAGCATCGGGCAGACCGCCCTTCCCCAGGCGCCAGGGGACTCCTCCCGCCACGGTCCCCAGCACGGGGTCTCAGCAGCCGGGCCCACAGAGACTGTGCGTGGCCTGGCTCCGGCCCCTCGCCTCCTCTGGGGCGCCAGCTGCTCCCCTAAGTTGGGGCGACGGGTCCACAGAACAGAGTCTCCCCCCCTCGCCAGCTGTGCTCGCTCTGCCTGGCCGGGCTGCCCGCCTTCTCCCTCAAGCCGCCCGCTTCTCAGATGCCAGGCCTTCTCAGCTGTAGGCGGTTTCACTGCCTGCAGGCCCTGCAGTCGCTTCTGGCTCCAGGACCCGTCATCCCACCGCATGGCAGCCCGCCCTCCCCTGCTCCTCTCCCACGGGGCCCAGTCCCGAGCCATGGCGCCCCGCACACGCTAACCCTGCCCTTTGATTCACGGGCTGAGGCTCAGCGATGTGTCCAGTGTGAAAAGCACACAAATGGGGCCCCTTTCACACGGAGTCAGAGCTGCCTGCGCCAGAGGAGCCGCCTTCCCCTCTTACTCCTCAAACCTTCGAAATGCTAAAACCGGGCGAGATGACCCCTCATTGGGCCCCCAGCAGCTCTATTTGCCAAAAGACTGTTTGCAAAGATAGCAGGGAAGCCGTGCTCGTGACGGACAGATGGATGGACGGACGAATGGCCGGACGGGTGGCCCACGGACTGGAAATGAAAAACCTGCTTTAGAATGAGCATTAGTATCGGCTCATCTGCTCCCAGAGCAGTGCCTTCAGTCTGTTGATGTAATTACGCCTCTTCCCTTTCTCATACACGCCCCGGCCTGCACCCCCTCACCGCAGCGCTGCTCGGGTTGCCGTCGGAAGCGGTGCATCCGGTGGCTGTGATTGTGGACCGGAAATAAATGCGTGCTGCCTCTCACGTTGGCCTTTGATTTTCAGCTCAAACCAGAGTCGATGCTCCAACCACGTGTTCCTTTCGGCCAGTCCTGGTCCTGAGGGGACAGGCCCGGGAGGCCACTGCCCACGTGGGTTTGCTTCTGGGTTTTCGCGGAGGGAATGGCTCTGTTGGAAACACAGGGGAGCCCATGGGCGTTCTCTGGGACTTGAGAAGGTTCCGTGGTTCTGTGCGCAGTGGGAGCCCTCCAGCTTGGTTGTGGGATTGTGCTGAGTTCAGCCAGGTAGAGAGGACGGGAGGCGAGCGACGGCCTCTAGTGATGGAATGAGCCTGCCTCTGCTCTGCGGCCCGTTCCAGAGCGTCCGGGATCTCGTGCGTGGATTTGCTCAGGGGCCTTGCCCAGTGGTCACGGCAGGAGGAGGGGCTCCTGCTTGGCCCCTCGGCTCCTCCTGGCGACCTGGAGTGGAGTCCCCCTCACTGTCCCGAGGGCAGTGGCTTGGGCTCTCGGGGGCTGGAGCCACGTGCTCTTCAATTGTACTCAGTGTGGCCCCAGAGAGGCTGCCGGCTGGAGTGTCCAGCAGGGCGGGGAGCCACCCCCTGGACAGGCAGGAGGCCTCTTCTCCCCCCACCTCTGACTGGGCCTTGCTCCCAGGCCCCCCACTTCCTGCAGCCACCCCATCCTGAGCAAGGGTGCCCCACTGTCACGTGGGAGTGAGACACTCTCCCCGATTGCCTGGCCGGCGCCATGTCCCCCGCTGGCCGAGGGCTGGGTCTCTCCGTCCAGATGGTCTGCCTGTTAGCCTGGGGCAGGTGGGGCAGGGCCAGTGGGAAGGGCAGGGGGACACAGGTCAAGTCCCTTTCCTTTGCCTCTATAGGGTGTCCCAAAATTCACGCAAGATTTGAATTTTGCGTGAGCATTAACAACAACAACAACAACAAAAAATAAAAGCCTAATTTTACTTGGTTTATTGAATCAGATCCTAATA